TCCAAGATTGATCTGCGGTCTGGGTACCATCAATTAAAGGTCAAGGCTGATGATATTGAGAAGACAGCTTTTCGAACCCGGTACGGTCATTACGAATTTTTGGTTATGCCATTCGGAGTTACTAACACGCCAGCAGCTTTCATGGATTTGATGAACCGTGTTTTCAAGCCCTATTTGGATGAATTTGTGGTGGTCTTTATTGACGATATTCTCATCTATTCGAAGAATGCAGATGCTCACGAGAATCACCTCCGTTTGATCCTTCAAACCCTCCGGGAAAAGAAATTGTACGCAAAGCTGAAGAAATGTGAATTCTGGCTACTAGAGGTGGCATTTCTAGGGCATATCATCACAAAGGAAGGAGTTTCTGTTGATCCACACAAGATTGAGGCAATCATAAATTGGCCAACTCCTACTGATGTGACTGAGGTGTGTAGTTTTATGGGATTAGCTGGTTATTACAGGAGATTTGTTCAAGATTTTTCTAAAATTGTTGTGCCACTTACACAACTAATACGAAAGGGAGTTGCATTTGAATGGTCAGAGGAACGAGAATCTGCTTTCCAGGAATTGAAGACAAGGTTGACAACAACACCAGTTTTGGCCTTACCATCCGGTACAGAAGGATTTGTAATCTACAGTGACGCTTCGCACAAAGGGCTTGGTTGCGTACTTATGCAAAACGGAAGAGTTATCGCCTATGCGTCTAGACAGCTGAAACCCCACGAGAAGAATTATCCCACGCATGATCTGGAACTAGCAGCAGTAGTTTTTGCTTTAAAGATATGGAGACACTATTTGTATGGTAGCACCTGTGAGGTATACACTGATCATAAAAGTCTCAAGTATCTTTTTACTCAGAAAGAATTAAATATGCGGCAACGACGGTGGTTGGAACTTTTGAAAGATTATGACCTGAAGATTCATTATCATCCTAGTAAAGCCAACACAGTTGCTGATGCGCTCAGTCGGAAAAATATGGGGATTTTGGCAGATATGGCAAGTATGATTACAGGACAAAAGGACGTGGCAATCGAATTGGATAAGGTGGAATTGAACCTTGTGTTACATGGTCAAAAAGCCCTAATAGCAACGATAGTAGCACAACCAACCTTACTTGAAGAGATTAAAGTGCACCAAATGGAAGATGAAACTTTGAGGAAGATACATGATGAGTTCGAAACAAAACCAAAACCGGGATTCAGTGCGGTAGATTCAGTGCTTAAATTTCAAAACCAACTATGTGTTCCCAATGTGATGAGTCTTAAACAAAAATTGATGGAGGACGCGCATACCTCAAGGTTCTCAATGCATCCAGGGAGTACTAAAATGCACCGAGATTTAAAGCAGAATTTTTGGTGGCCAAGTATGAAGAAGGAGATTGCGGAGTTTGTTTCTAAGTGTTTGCAATGCCAACAAGTAAAAGCGGAGCATCAAAGACCTGGCGGATTATTGCAACCTCTTCCCATCCCAGAATGGAAATGGGAACATTTGACTATGGATTTTGTTATGGGGTTGCCACGAACTCCTCGAGGTATGAATTCAATTTGGGTCATTGTGGACCGATTAACTAAGTCCGCCCACTTTCTGCCAGTAAAAACTCAGTATAATGCAGATAAATTACCAGAGATTTATGTAAATGAAATTGTGAGGCTTCATAGTGTTTCGGTCTCAATTGTGTCAGACAGAGATCCTAAGTTTGTTTCTAGATTCTGGCAAAGTTTACAGGAAGCAATGGGTACAGAATTAAAGTTCAGCACAGCTTTTCATCCTCAGACCGACGGTCAATCCGAGAGGACGATACAGACTCTTGAGGATATGCTCCGAATGTCTGTACTAGATTTTCAAGACAGTTGGGAAACCCATCTCCCGTTGATAGAATTTACGTATAATAATAGTTACCATTCGAGCATAGACATGGCACCTTATGAAGCTTTGTATGGAAGACCATGCCGTTCTCCCGTGTGCTGGGCTGAAGTTGGGGATAAATCCTTATTAGGGCCTGAAATTGTTCAGTTGACTACTGAAAAAGTTCACGTTATTCGGGAAAGATTGAAAACTGCTCAAAGTAGGCAGAAAAGCTATGCTGATAACCGACGGAGAGATTTGGAATTTGACGTGGGTAGCTATATTTTCGTGAAAGTCACTCCGATGAAAGGGCACCCAAGATTCGGAAAGAAAGGTAAGTTGACACCCCGGTATGTCGGTCCTTTTCAAATTCTGGAAAAAGTGGGTCCAGTAGCTTACCGAGTTGCCCTTCCACCACATATGAGTCAAGTGCATAACGTGTTTCATGTCTCTATGCTTCGTGGGTACCTTCCGGATCCGTCACATGTTATTGACTACCATCAAATTGAGTTGAACGACAAGTTAATTTATGAGGAAAGACCAATTCGCATTTTAGACAGACAAGTAAAACAATTACGAACCCGTGAGATTCCAATGGTAAAAGTTGAATGGCAAGAACATTACGGGATCGACGCAACATGGGAAAGAGAGGAAGAGATGCAACATCAATACCCACACCTGTTCCAACCCTAAGGTAACCCAAGTTTGGAGGACCAAACTTATTTAAGGGGGGGAGAGTGTAATAACCCGACCCTCGTACATGATTTCTGTTATATTCTCAGTCCTCAAATGGTACTTTTAAATGCTTACTGTGTAGTTCCATGAAAAATTATGATTAAGGAAGTGAAATCCATATCTATGAATATCTGTCACCATTAACACGTTTGCATTAGAAATTGGAAGCCTTAACAGCTTAATTAGCTGAAATTGATTATATATCTGTGATCAACATAATTTTTAAGTAATATTAAGCATGTTTGCGAAATTTTAATTTTGGAATGATTAAACGATTCATTTTTGTCTTATATGCCTTATTTATGCATATATACTTCTAAGACTTCATGAGCCTTAGTCAAAAAAAAGGGAAAAACGTGAATACCATTTTTGGGGGAGAAAAGAAGAGAAAGTGAAGAAGAGAAATTGGGGGAGAAGGGATCCAACAAGAAAGCTTGGCAAAGTTGTTAAAGGTGTAGGATTGAATTCAAGGGCACATTCCAGAGGAAGCAACACGCCACCTCAACACTGTGAGTAGTAGTACCTATGTAATGTTATGTAATCATGTCAATGTTTCAAGGCAGGTAAGGCAAATATGTTAATGTCTTAAGCATGTAATGTACTTATGCATGTTTAAGATATGTTGCTGTTAAAGCAAGTTTCAAGTACATTTTCAAGGGCCATGTGCCACAAGTTTCAAGTACATTTTCAAGGGCCGTGTGCCACAAGTTTCAAGTACATTTCACGGGCCATGTGCCATAAGTTTCAAGTGTATTTTCAAGGGCCTCGCGCCACAAGTTTCAAGTGTAATACAAGGGCCTCGTGCCATATGTTCAAGGGCTTCGTGCCATCATGTTTCAAGGGCTTATAGCCACATGCTTATGTCACGGGAATAGGCCTAGGGCCATTATGAGCTAAACGCAGAATCAGACAAATCATGTGCATGCTGCATCTTTTTATGTATTGATGTATTTAAGCTTCAAGTCAGACGTCTTTCATTATGTATTACTGCTCATTGAGCCCGGCTCACTCTCCATTATGTCTGTTTCTGTAGGTTACCAGTCAGGGGGTCAGTCCTAACTTCGACGCTGTCCCTTTTGTCAACCTTTACACGTCCAGGCACTACACCAGGCCATTTATTTTTGGGAAGCTGCTAAGATACGGGTCTACTTTTTGAGAGCCACCTATGGACGTTGTACATAACTCTCATATTCCATTTGTTATGCCCAATTATCGGGCTAGGACTGTAAATAAGGAGAGGGCCATCCCCTCTCCTTTGTGTCTTCAATACATGCCTTATTTGCCTCATGTTTGAGCACCTTTGGTAAGTGTGTGTTGGCTATGTCTTAGTTTGTATTTGTGGTTATTTTGTTGAGGCATGCCATTGTTTTTGCTTAGTTTGGTCACCCCTTGCATGGTTAATACACTTGTAGTGTAAATCACACATTCTAGTCTTGTATGCCTCATGTTTGAGCATGTGTTTCTAGCTTGTTTTTGGGCCATCTCAGTAGATTTTTGGTGTATTTTTAACATGCCTTAGATCTGTTTTTGCTTGGTTTGGTCGGCTCTTGCATGCCTTAGACACTTGTAGTCACTACTACAAATATAGATAAAGATCACACTTTTTTGGTGTGATGTATGTTTTTTAATCACACCTTTTAAGTTTTATTAAAGTGTGGTCTTTAGGAGGATCATTTTTAATCACACTTTTTAAGTGTGATTAATAACATTTAGATCACATCTTTTAAGTGTGATTAATAACTAATAAAATCTGTGATAAAAAAAATGTGCTACATATTTGAAAAATAATCAATATTATTTTTGTATGCACATTTGAAGAATGTAATACACACTCTATACTATATTTTGAATCATAACCACATATTGAATAGAATAACGTAATATATTTCATAAATGGAAATTAAATATTCAAAACTATATACAAAGAAATTAAATAAAAAAATTATTTGTGCTTACATATATTAAAAAATGAAAAAACTTAAAAAAACTAAGTTCTTTAATTCTTGGACCATATTTTGCATCTCTCCAAAAAAATTCTGACCTGAAAAATAAAAACACAAATTAATCCAGAAACCGCTGATGCATATGAATAAACTAAAGAGTTAATTCAACAAACCAAAATAGAAACATTAATTATTTCTGCTTGATCTTAATTCTTTTGGAAGTAATTAACAATTAGATGCCACAGCAGCTCAGTGTCAATGACATTGTAATTAGAAAGTCACTAATGAGCACAATATTTAAAAATGATAAATTTCAATACAGCTTGTGGACGATCTTTTTGTGAATATATATTATTATTACTGTTGAACCATAATTCTAGGTACCCATAAATAAATAAATAAAAACTCAAGAATTTACTCTTTTTTTGGGAGGGGGGGATACATTGCAGTTACTATCACCAGCACCAGCAGTAGGTTTTGAAGAAGCAGAAGCTACATTTTCTTTTGCACCTTTGGAGGAAAAAGAAGAAAAAACAGCTACCCATTTCATGCATGTCTATCTACCAAAGAATAACTGCAAACACTAACAATTGGCACAAGCGTATAGAAAATGATAAAGAAAATACATTATTATCTCAAAATACCTAGCGAAGCATTGTAGCCTCAGATTCAATTCCTCCAACTCCCCAGCCAACAACTCCTAAGCCAGCAATCATATTTGTATGGGAATCAATTCCAACCACGCTATCAGGGTACAGAATGCCATTTGTGTAGAAAATAACCCATCCAAGGTATTCAAGATTAACTTGAAAATTACCAGAGTCACTTGCTAAATGCCAAACCTACCAAATAATATTATAGTGCTAAAAAAATGAGAAAATTTGGACTATGATTTACAAGAGGCTAGAGGTAAATGTGGCTTTACTCTGGAAGCCCCATAAATAGTTAAACATTGCAAACCTCATGTATTGAGCCTATACCTATCTAATGTTTTGGCCCTTTTAAGAGTAAACCATTCATACCACCTTAAGGGCAAATTATTGCACCTTGCCATGAGAATTTTCCTTTAACAACAGTATAACATCTAGATATAGAAATACCCTTGATGCACTAATGATGCCAAAGTCTTACCTGGTGGACAATACCAGAACCAGGAGGAACAATGAGCATATTGTGAAAAACATTGGAACCCCACTTCAGAAAAACAAACCTCTCCTTGTTTCTCTGAAATTCAAGCCCCATATTTGCCTGCATTGCATTCACTTCCTGCCACATCAACCTGAACAGAATTGTCAATGACAAGATCCACTGGAACCTGGACATAACATTTATGTGTGTAAACAAATATTGGTTATATTAATTTATTAGTGTGAGATTCTAACAAATTAAGAACAACTCAGTTGATTGATACATGTGAAGGTTAAGTTGGAAATCAATGGTACATTCAAGAAAGCAGATTTTTTTGCCCAATATTATTTGCCGACTCCCAATGAAGGTCAGCAAGTGGGCCGAGCAGAAAACACATTAAGGCAACATGCAATCAAGACCCTACTACCAAACTAAATATTCAAAGCGCTCAAGGCCATCACCTTGCATTGTTCGTTCATGGCCAAGAGCTGGGCCTCTTTTTTGTCAAGTAGAGTGGTCAACCTCACATTTTCTTCCATAAGTTTCTGGACTTCAGTTTCTTTCTGCATTTTCTCACTGTTCAGCTGTGTGGTCTTTTCAACTAACCTGCTTCCAAACAAAATCAAATTTATCATTGAACCAGAGTCGGTGTGGTAGATATCAGTATTATTAAGAAACAAAACGGTCGGCCCATTAAATTAGTCACATATTCTTCAATAGAAACACCAAAATATGGCAGTGACACCTTCCATACTCATAGCTTCTCCAAAATTAGGTTCTGTGCTACTGGCTACTGCTGCTGCTGCTGTTGTTACCTTCTTGCTGAAGCTTGTTGTCTGCTGTTGCTTGCCATTTTGCTGGTGCTTAATGATCTGATGTTGCCTGCTGTCTAAGAGGATGTGGTGGTTGTTTTATAGTCTGAATTTTTATTTATTAGTATAGTTATGTGGTGGTTGTTTTATAGTCATATTCTTAAATTTAAAAAATAAATAAATATAAATAAATCAAACTGATGTAGCCAAAATGATATGTAATGGGTCTCAACAAATTTTAAACTTCACAGAACAAGGTAAATTTTTTTTAACTTATTCCATCAACATAGCAGTTCAGTCTTGTTCTGAATCTAATTCTAAAGATACTCAACAGCTGTACAAAGAGAAATCAAAGTACCAAACCAATTAAACAACTAAACATAAAAAGAAAAAGAACATTAATATGTACATCTATACTATACTAAATAAAAGGAGAAAATTTGGTGTATCATTTCGAAGTTTCCATACATTTATCCCATATTCATTCATACTGAAAATTTTTTATTGCACATACTCCCAATGAAACACCCTGTATTTTCCTTTTTTTAACAGCAACAAAAAGAATATAATTTCCAGCTGACAAAATTCTTGTTTAAATTACTACCAGTCTACCACAACTATATCAACTCAGCCTATAAGAGAGAATGAGACTGAGTTATGACTTACAAATATTATTTTGAGGAGGATTATAGCTGACAACAATAATTATGGTGGTGATGGTCGAGTTAGACATGGACTTGAAGACAATGGTTAACCTCAATCAGTTCACATTTCGTAGTAAACAAATTTATGAACAAAAACTCAAACCCCACCACTGACCAAACAATGATTACACTAAACAGCAAAATTGTGTTGGATCTAATGTAATTCAACAATAAAAAGCACATTTTCCCTCAAGCTTTTCATGTCCTTTCTTCGCATCGTTATTACGAGCATCATACATCACATTAAACTACGTACCAATTAGTGAGGCTCGAAACACCCATTTTACTTTGGGTGTAGCATTTATGTACCAATTGGGCTACAAGACGCATGATGCCCTCTGGTTATATCAATTTACGTGCAACTGTTAGTTGCAAATGATAAAAGTCACGTAGCTTGCTATGTTTTGGAGAAGATTGAGCTCCTTACGTTCCCCAGAGTCCTCGGGGTAAGTTCTTGTCATCACTGCAACACTGAACGTAACAATAGTGACCTATGATTCACAAACAGAACTAAAATTTCACTAAAATGTCCGATTGTTTCACTGAAAGTTAATTTAAAATTATATATTAAATAAAAAATATAAATTATAAATTATAAATTTAATTTAATTTAATTGAAAATAATAAATTAAAATAATTAAAATATTGTGAAAAAAATAAAATAAAACAATTTTTTATTTAATCTAGCTAAAAATAATTAAAATATTAAAGCTATGTTTAATATTGAATAATTGAAAATGATAAAATAGTCATTTGAGCATTTATCCTTCTCCATAATATTCCAAACAAACATTGGATAACTAAAAATAGTTCAATCCAGACATCTAATCCCATGACTAAACAAACATATACAAATTTAGTCCAACCAAATAGTCCCGGGACAATGTATCCCAGGACTAATAGTCCGATGGATTACAATCCCCCTTATCCAGTCCGTCCAAACAAACGCACCCTTATTGTCTAATAGGTTCTATAAAAAAAATTGTCTTAAAAAAAGTCACTAATTGTATGTTTTAGAGACAATTTATAAAAATTATGACAAAAAAAAAGTAACTAATTGTCAATTTTTAGCACATATATAAAAAATTGTCACAAAAAAATTATTTTTAGTGAGAATATTACCAAGACTTATTTTCAATAGGACTTGATGGGAATTAAGTCTAACTATTATGACATATTGATAGTTTACCCCTATTTTTAGTGTTCTTAAAATAAGTTGGCTTTTAGTCACTTTTTTTGATTTGTAGCATAAGTCAAAAGTTAGTTTTTTTGTCTTTTTTTTTCATTTGGGAAGTTGGTTTTTAGCCAACGGTGAAATTACAATTTTACCCTCATGGGTCAAAATGTGTTACATAGGTGAAGTTGTAAATATTTTAAATAAATTGGGGTAGTTTGGTCATTTTATTATGATTTGACATCATAAACAAACATTAATCAAAAAAGTCAAAAAGTCACTTTTTACCAACTTCCCAAATCATTTGTCTAAAAAAGCCAAAAGCTTGGTTAAAAACTAAAAAGTCACTTTTTACCATCTTCCCAAAATAAGCCCAAATCACAAGGTGTGGCTCACTTCTAGAGTTCTTAACATTTTTATATATGTTTTTATGACCATATATCAGGTATAATGCCAACAGCAAGTTAAGTACATCTGAAATTATTTTGAAAATTTATTAATAAGTCTTATTTTATTTTTGAGATTAGATTAAATTACACATTACTTTTGAAATTTGAAGAAAATAAAATTTATTTTATATTTTTGACATAATTATATTAATTTTCTTTTTAATATAGTTAAAATGATTGAAATTAATATCAATATTAGATAAGTATTTAAATAAACAAAGAAAATGTAAGACATTTAATAAAAAAAAATTGATAAATTTTTTTTTAGTCTCTAGCATTAGTAAACATTATTTACCCTAAAGATTACTAATGGATTACGTTTGAATAAGATAAATTTTGAAAGAGAATGGGAATGTCATTAATAGTAATAAATTCCTCGAGTTAATGTTATTAAAGTGTTCGGTTTCTTTAGAAATCTTAAATTAAAAAATAAAGATTTTGAAAATACCGTGGACCCAATTATTTTTTTACTCTTAAATATTTAGGGCAAATTACAAACACCCCCTTCGAGGTTTGGTGAAAATACAGATTTCCCAATGAAGTTCGAGAAATTACAAATTGCCCCTTGATGATCAAATTTACATAACAAATTAGGAAAATCTGTATGAAAATAAAAACTTCAGAGAGCAATTTGTTATGAAAATATAAACCTCAGGGGGCAGGATGTAATTTCTCAAATCTCAAGAAGAAATCTGTATTTTCACCAAATCTCAAGGGGTGTTTGTAATTTACCCAAATATTTAACATTCTTCTGTGAATGTGAGATTTTCATGGGAGAGTGAGTGGATCAGATTTTTACTTTTAGCAATGTAATTCTATTAAATTAGATAATCAGAAATCACTTTTTCATTCCAATTCATTTTAAACATTAGAATCATGGCGACCTATAATCACATTACCATTCCTCAAAAAAATTACTGTCCTAACAAGTTTCATTGTGGACATGTCTTACGGTTTTATAAAATGTTCAATTATTCATAATGATGTGTTTATTCAAATTTTACCACTCTCATTTAATATGAAACAATTTCATAATCAATATAAATTTACCTAAATTTATATTTTTAAATTATAAATATTATATTAAATAAAATCATAAACAATAATTAGATTAAAAGTAAACCATGACATCGGGTTGTTTGAATCTATGATTTTATTTATTTATTGATAAAAAATTAAAATTTCATTGATAGAACTATGAAAAATAATATAGTGAGAAATTCATATATTTTTCAATGCATAAGATAATTGATGAACTTTTTACTTATGTTTTTGCTTATGCAAATTTATTTAATTTAAACTATTAAAAATAATTTTATTACGTAAATAAATGAGTAAATTATACTTTACCCTTTTTATATTTAGTCATTTTTTTACTTTGGCCCTTGAAATTTTTTTTCTTCACTTTGGTCTTTATATTTTAAGTTTTTTTTCAATTTATTTGTAAACCTAATTATATTCAAATTAGATTAAAAAAAAACATGGTTCCTAAGAGGGTAATTTATATGCTTAAAGTTGGGCCGAGCTAGGTCCATTTGTTTTAAGAATTGTGCCGAACAAAGTAACCTCGGTTCATGGGGACACGCTTCAAGTCGAGCTAAGAGCTTCAATAGCTCGGTCGTAAGGTGTACCCCATGTTAGGCCGAGGTCTAGAACAGATGAGCAAGATGTTATCAGCAGCTCGGACAGGGGAATGTTAGTAACATACCGGGCTTAAGGTTATCCCGGTCGAATAGTATCTTCGGTCCGTCTGGCGTAGAACAGGGCCAGGATAGCTCGGTTGAGTGTACTACCGAGCTGAGGCAGGAGGTTTGGGTCCTCTCACTTGGTGGGAAGTGAGTAGGGAGTTATGAGGATAGGCATTATTTTTAGGAGTGTGATTCTTAAGAGGACTCTTATAAGGAGAGTTGAAGTCCTATTAGAATTGTGCCAAGTGAAATCTATAAAAGCTCATGACAGAACCTATGAACAGGTATCACAATTTCTACTCTCAAATACACTGAGCTTTTTTCTATTGTCTATTCGCTGACTTAGGCATCGAAGAGGTATCCAGTACACACCCGCCGACTAGCTCACGTTTGTGTTTTCAGGAAGCAAAGCAACGACGTTTGGAGGAATGCAAACTTGGTCAACAGGACTATACGAGAAGATTATTTCGTGCTCGAACAATTGGCGCCATCTGTGGGAACTGCACAAAGAACAAAACATTTTGATCGAGTTTTCCTCTCTAGTTGAAATCAATGGCGCACAATGAAGATTTGTCGCAATCTGCTATTGATGGGCAAACCCCAGAGAGGGGCAGGAGGCACGAAGGTTTACCTTCTATCCTACCAATGGCAGAATTAGAACCCCAGCGACGGAACTCCCGGAGGGACACATAGGAGAGACAGGGCAC